ATGTTGATGATTATAACTGACAACTAATGAAAACCCCAAACTCAGTATCTCAGAAAATTAGAATATTACTTGAGATCAATTAAAAAAAGGATTTTGAGAAATGTTGGCCAATTGAAAAGTATGAACATGAAAAGTATGAGCATGTACAGCACTCAATACTTAGTTGGGCTCCTTTTGCCTGGATTACTGCAGCAATGCGGCATGGCATGGAGTCAATCAGTCTGTGGCACTGCTCAGGTGTTATGAGAGCCCAGGTTGCTCTGATAGTGGCCTTCAGCTCTTCTGAATTGTTGGCTCTGGTGTATCACATCTTCTTCTTCACAATACCCCATAGATTTTCTATGGGGTTAAGGTCAGGCAAGTTTGCTGTCCAATTAAGAACAGGGATACCATGGTCCTTAAACCAAGTACTGGTAGCTTTGGCACTGTGTGCAAGTGCCAAGTCCTGTTAGAAAATGAAATCTGCATCTCCATAAAGTTGATCAGCAGCAGGAAGCATGAAGTGCTCTAAAATTTCCTGGTAGATGACTGCGTTGACCTTGGACCTCAGAAAACACAGTGGACCAACACCAGTAGATGACATGGCACCCCAAACCATCACTGACTGTGGAAACTTGACACTGAACCTCAAGCAATGTGGGTTCTGTGCCTTTCCTCTCTTCCTCCAGACTCTGGGATCTTAATTTCCAAAGGAAATGCAAAATTTACTTTCATCAGAGAACATAACTTTGGACCACTCAGCTTCTGATGCTGTCTCTTGTTCAAGAGTGGCTTGACACAAGGAATGCGACAGCTGAAACCTATGTCTTGCATATGTCTGTGTGTGGTGGTTCTTGAAGCACTGAGTCCAGCTGCAGTCCACTCTTTGTGAATTTCCTCCACATTTTGCAATGGGTTTTGTTTCACCATCCTCTCCTGGGTACGGTTATCCATACTGCTTGTAAATTTTTTTCTACCACATCTTTTCCTTCCTTATGCCTCTCTATTAATGTGCTTGGACACAGAGCTCTGTGAACAGCCAGCCTCTTTAGCAATGACCTTTTGTGTCTTGCCCTCCTTGTGCAAGATGTCAATGGTCGTCTTTTGGACAACTGTCATGTCAGCAGTCTTCCCATGATTGTGTAGCCTACAGAACTAGACTGAGAGTCCATTTAAAGGCCTTTGCACGTGTTTTGAGTCAATTAGCTGATTAGAATATGGCACCAGGTGTCTTCAATATTGAACCTTTTCACAATATTCTACTTTTCTGAGATACTGAATTGTGGGTTTTCATTAGTTGTCAGTTATAATCATCAACATTAAAATAAATAAACGTTTGAAATATATCAGTATGTGTGTAATGAATGAATATAATCTACAAGTTTCACTTTTTGAATGGAGTTACTGAAATAAATAAACTTTTTCATGGTATTCTAATTTTATGACCAGCACCTGTAAATAATACTGTGGATAAATTATCTCAACAGTGTCAGTGCTTTACAAGCATCCACACAATAGAAACTATGAAGTTATGAAGTTTTTGAAAAAATATTTGTTTTAATTAACCCCTCCCTGGGCTGCCACCTTACCGTGGTGGAGGGGTTTGAGTGTCCCAATGATCCTAGGAGCTATGCTGTCAGGGGCTTTATGCCCCTAGTAGGGTCACCCATGGCAGACAGGTCCTAGGTGAGGGACCAGACAAAGTGCAGCCCAAACACACCCCTATGATGAAAAACACAAATGGACCTAGTGTTCCCTTGCCCGGACGTGGGTCACCGGGGCCCCACTCTGGAGCCAGGCCTGGAGGTGGGGCATGTGGGCGAGCGCCTGGTGGCCGGGCTTTTACCCATGGAGCTCGGCCGGGCACAGCCCGAAGAGGAGACGTGGGTCCCCCTTCCCATGGGCTCACCACCTGTGGGAGGGGCCAAAGGGGTCGGGTGCAATGTGGGATGGGTGGTGGCCGAGGGCGGGGACCCTGGCGGTCTGATCCTTGGCTACAGAAGCTGGCTATTGGGACGTGGAATGTCACCTCACTGGTGGGGAAGGAGCCTGAGCTGGTGTGTGAGGCTGAGAGGTTCCGGCTAGAAATAGTCGGACTCACCTCTACGCATGGCTCGGGCTCTGGAACCAGTTTCCTTGAGAGGGTCTGGACACTCTTCCACTCTGGAGTTGCCCCTGGTGAGAGGCGCCGAGCAGGCGTGGGCGTACTAATTGCCCCCCAACTTGGTGCCTGTGTATTGGGGTTCACCCCCGTGAATGAGAGGGTGGCCTCTCTCCGCCTACGTGTGGGGGGACGGGTTCTGACTGTCGTTTGTGCTTATGCACCAAACGGCAGTTCAGATTATCCACCCTTTCTGGAGTCCTTAGAGGGGGTACTGGAAAGTGCACCTTCTGGGGACTCCCTTGTTCTGCTGGGGGACTTCAATGCTCATGTGGGCAATGACAGTGAGACCTGGAGGGGTGTGGTTGGGAGGAACGGCCCCCCTGATCTGAACCAGAGTGGTGGTCTGTTGTTGGACTTCTGTGCTCGTCATGGATTGTCAATAACGAACACCTTGTTCAAGCATAAGGGTGTCCATATGTGCTCTTGGCACCAGGACACCCTAGGCCGCAGTTCGATGATCGACTTTGTCATCGTCTCATCTGATCTGCGGCCACATGTCTTGGACACTCGGGTGAAGAGAGGGGCGGAGCTGTCAACTGATCACTACCTGGTGGTGAGTTGGCTCCGATGGTGGGGGAGGATGCCGGTCAGACCTGGTAGGCCCAAACGTATTGTGAGGGTTTGCTGGGAACGTCTGGCAGAGTCTCCTGTGAGACGGAGTTTCAACTCCCACCTCCGGGAGAACTTTGAACATGTTCCAAGGGAGGTGGGGGACATTGAGTCTGAGTGGACCATGTTTCGTGCCTCTATTGTCGAGGCGGCTTACCAGAGCTGCGGCCGCAAGGTTGTCGGTGCCTGTCGGGGCGGCAACCCTCGAACCCGATGGTGGACACCGTCGGTGAGGGATGCTGTCAGGCTGAAGAAGGAGTCCTATCGGGCCTTTTTGGCCTGTGGGACCCTGGAAGCAGCTGATGGGTACCGGCAGTCCAAGCGACATGCGGCTCGGGTGGTTGCTGAGGCAAAAACTCGGGCATGGGAGGAGTTCGGAGAGGCCATGGAGAACGACTTCCGCACGGCTTCGAGACGTTTCTGGTCCACCATCCGGCGTCTCAGGGGGGGGAAGCGGTATGCCACCAACACTGTTTATAGTGGGGGTGGTTTGCTGCTGACCTCAACTCGAGATGTTGTGGGTCGGTGGGCGGAATACTTTGAAGACCTCCTCAATCCCACCGGCACGTCTTCCACTGAGGAAGCGGAGCCTGGGGACTCTGGGTCGGGCCCTCCAATCTCTGGTGCTGAGGTCACCGAGGTGGTTAAAAAGCTCCTCGGTGGCAGGGCCCCAGGGGTGGATGAGATCCGCCCAGAGTTCCTTAAGGCTCTGGATGTTGTAGGGTTGTGTTGGCTTACGCGACTCTGCAATGTTGCGTGGACATCGGGGGAAGTTCCCCTGGATTGGCAGACCGGGGTGGTGGTCCCCCTATTCAAAAAGGGGGACCGTAGAGTGTGTTCCAACTACAGCGCTCTTAAGCCTCCCTGGTAAGGTCTATTCGGGGGTTCTGGAGAGGAGGGTCCGTCGGATAGTCGAACCTCGGATTCAGGAGGAACAGTGCGGTTTTCGTCCTGGCCGTGGAACACTGGACCAGCTCTACACTCTCAGCAGGGTCCTAGAGGGTGCGTGGGAGTTTGCCCAACCAGTCTACATGTGCTTTGTGGACTTGGAGAAGGCTTTCGACCGCGTCCCTCGGGGGGCCCTGTGGGGGGCCCTGTGGGGGGTACTCTGGGAGTATGGGGTACCAGGCCCTTTGATACGGGCTGTTTGGTCCCTGTATGACCGGTGTCAGAGCCTGGCCCGCATCGCCGGCAGTAAGTCGGGCTTGTTCCCGGTGAGAGTTGGACTCCGCCAAGGTTGCCCTTTGTCACCGATTCTGTTCATAACTTTTATGGACAGAATTTCTAGGCGCAGCCAAGGTGTTGAGGGGATTCGTTTTGGTGGCCTCAGAATTGCGTCTCTGCTTTTTGCAGATGATGTGGTCTTATTGGCTTCATCAGATCGTGATCTACAGCTTTCGCTGGAGCGGTTCGCAGCCGAATGCGATGCGGCCGGGATGAAGATCAGTTCCTCCAAATCCGAGGCCATGGTCTTGAGCCGGAAAAGGGTAGAGTGCCCTCTCTGGGTCAGGGAGGAGGTCCTACCCCAAGTGGAGGAGTTCAAGTATCTTGGGGTCTTGTTCACGAATGAGGGAAAAATGGAGCGTGAGATCGATATGCGGATAGGTGCAGCGTCTGCAGTGAAGCGGGCGCTGTACAGGTCTGTCGTGGTGAAGAGAGAGCTGAGTCAAAAAGCGAAGCTCTCAATTTACCGATCGATCTACGTTCCCACCCTCATCTATGGTCACGAGCTTTGGGTTGTGACCGAAAGAATGAGATCTCGGATACAAGCGGCCGAAATGAGTTTTCTCCGCAGGGTGTCTGGGCTCTCCCTTAGAGACAGGGTGAGAAGCTCGATCATCCGGGAGGGACTCGGAGTAGAGCCGCTGCTTCTCCACATTGAGAGGAGCCAGTTGAGGTGGCTTGGGCATCTGTTTAGGATGCCTTCTGGACGCCTCCCTGGTGAGGTGTTCCGGACACGTCCCACCGGAAGGAGGCCCAGGGGAAGACCCAGGACACGCTGGAGGGACTACGTTTCTCGGCTGGCCTGGGAACGCCTCGGGATTCCCCCGGAAGAGCTGGCCCAAGTGGCTGGGGAGAGGGAAGTCTGGGCCTCCCTACTTAGGCTGCTACCCCCGCGACCCGACCCCGGATAAGCGGAAGAAAATGGATGGATGGATGGATATTTGTTTTAATTAAATATTTTCTTATTTGCACATTTGTTGAAATGCTGACAGGTTTATTTGTTTATTTATTTGTTTGTCTGCAGAACAGTGAGGCAAAGCTTGGTCCTCCCCGTGTCACGTCTATGAGGTCTTACCCAGAGTGTGACATGAACAGCAGCACTGAAAACTCCAACAGCTCCGACTCGCTGGACACACCACAACAAAACAGGTCAGCTATAAACACAGCTAGAGATTACACATTTAGGTTCTGATGCAAACAGCTTCCTTCACTAAACGTGTTGCTGTGCAACCCTAGACACTTAGGTGGATCAGCATCGGCTCCCGTCATCGCTAAGGAGGAGCAGTTTGAGGACTATGGTGAGGGAGTAGATGTGGATTTTACTCCAAGCAGCCCCCGCCCTGAGGATGAGAGCCGAACAAATGGTTTCTCAGATCTCGGTTCCTCGCTTCCCTCCAGGTTTGTGCATCTTATGAAAATGCACCACAAGTCATTTCCAAGGTCTTCAGATTACAGTTCTTTAGATGATTTGTGCTTAAAATGACATCTTTGAGCAAACCCCAGAATGATGGGAGATGACAACAGGTTTGATACTTATGCAGTTTATTCTTTGCATTATACTTTAATTTATGAGCTTGTGAAGTATAAATAATTCAATTTTTTTACTTCTCTACCTGCTTCAGGCCAGATTTTGTTGTTTTATATCTTTAATTTTTATATAACTACTAAACACTGATGAACATCAATTAATCTTTCTCAAGATTATTCAGTTAGAATTCAGTAAAGGTAGTTTACAGGCAGAATCTCCTTAGGACTATTAAGAACAGAAAATAAAATGATGGATTTGAACAGCAGAATCAGTCAGGCGAAGTTTTATTACTAAAATGCTGTTAATCCAGAGCTTACATCAGTGTTCCCTGGGACATTCTGTGGGGTTTGCTGTGGTGGTATAGGGTACCAGGGTAATCTTTAGTTACTATCTGGTCTCTGTGTAACCAAAGCGAGAGCTGTTTCCACAATCTTGGTACAGGCTGGACTCCCTTAGGGCTGTCTCATCTCAGATCCTGTTTGTGTTGATCATGGACAGGATCTCCGGTAGAGCTGTCATTTCCAACCGCAGGCCGGGGCTAGGGCTGGGGCCGGGCCAAACTAATGTGCTGGATGGGTAGGCCCAGTCAGTCTCAGGCTTTTGATGCAGTTTTATGAAGCATACAACACAAATAAAACTAAATAAGAATGCACAATATAAAATTGTGTTAATCTACTTGTACAGTTGGAGGCAGTAAGTTTATATGTTGAGAGGATGAAGAAAGAAAGAAAATAGTGTGCAACAGTTAAGCAGACTGTGAAAATTCAATTCAATTCAATTCAGTTTTATATAGCACCAAATCACAAAGCAAAGAAAAGAGAGTAATGCTGCCGCATTGCACAATCATTGCGCATGTCGGCTCGGCCGTCTATGATGCGTTTTACGAATGATACGAAAACTAAATAAGAATGCACAATATAAAACTGTGTTAATCTACTTGTTGAGGAGGAGGCAGGGCTGACTGGCCGATGGAAAGAGGTAAAAAAAAAAAAGTCCAGTTAAGCTCAAATGGATCACTTGGCACACACGTCTCAGCACTACTGTAATCTGCGGTGAAGGAAGTATCTGAAGTTACAAAAGCAAGCAGCTCTTTCAATTAAAATAGCCATGTTCTATATTTTCCAAATAATTTTGCTCTAAAATGATTTTTGTTCATCTGTATAATAGCCTGTCATTACAGTTGATTTTTTTAGGCTATTTATTTTTTATGTTAATATCCATTTGGTGAAACAAGAAATCTTATATCTTCCTTTCTTTCAAATTTGCTTACAAAAGCAGTCTAGTCAGGTTCGGAAAAAAATCCTATGGGCTTGGGCCAGGCCAGATTGGATTTTTTAGGACCAAATGCAACTCTGATCTCCGGGTACAGTCATGGAGAAGAGTGTGTTTTGGTTTGAAAACCATTAGTGTAGCATGACATAATAAAAGAGATCCTAGATAAAAGCTGCTAAAATGAAGTTTCTCCAAATTGAAGTCAATTAAGCCTTGGACTTGAGGTGAAGGGCTCTATCATTCAGAGGAGCTTACTGCTCCACATTAACAGTGCAAGTTGAGGGGGTTCAGAAATCTATTTTAGGTTGTTTTCATACCAGATAGTCCGGTAGCCTCGATTCGGTTCGGGACCAATATTCATGACCTTTTGTTTACATTTGAGCTGGTGAGTTTGCATTCACACTGCACTGTGCAGTCGAGTCAACCTGTTGAACCAACCTATTCCCCCGCTCGCCTGTGGGGGAGCTGCACCAAGAACTACTGAAAGAAACGACACAAAAACCTCTGAAGACACGTCTTCTTCTTCTGTAAATAAAAATAAAAACGAAGTTGTAAGGATGGTACCTTTTTGTGGCCCGGTTTGTGTCTGTGTTCCCTAGTGCTCCCTCGTTAGTTCTATTAGTGCCACCCTTGTCTCGTCCCAGCTGTTCGTAATCACGTCTCATCTTGTCCCTGTATATAAGCCATCTGTCAGTCTTGTTCGTTGTCGCGTCGTACTCGTTGGGTCTCCTGTGTTCCCCTGAGTCTTCCGAGTTCCCTGAGTCCTCCTGAGTTTCCCGTGCCTTATCTTCCTGTTCATGTAAGTTTTGCTGCCCCGTCAGCCTGTTATTTTGTATCTTTATCATTAAATTCCTATTTTTGTATTCTGATGAGTTGAGTCCCTGTCTGCACTACTGGGTTCACTCCTGCCTAGAAAATCCTAACATTACGACACGACCAGACCAGAACCCAGCGGGCAGGGTCTCTCTCTCGGCAAACTCACCTTTTTTCTTTTTCCCTCCACGAGCCATAGATGGACGAGCTCCACTCGGTCCCTGTCCTTCTGCCGTCCCATTACCGCCGTAGTGACAGAAAACTGTTCCGGAGGCAGTCCGCGGCGACCGGCCTGGTCTCGTCGGCTGAGCAGAATTTTAGAGCTAGTTCCGGTGTTCCTGTGGGAGCGGGATCCGCCGCCTCACCTCCCAGGTTTGCGGTGGGGGCGAGATCCAACGTCCCGCGGGAGCTCCGGTCCACTCCTGTTCAGTTCGGTGAGTCCGGTCCACTTGACGCCACAGGGGCGGGTTCCGCCGCCTCACCTTCCAGGTTCCTGGTGGGGGCGGAATCCGGCCTCTCACCGCCACTCCGCGCCGCGGCTGTCCGACCCAGCCTGACCGTACTTCCCGAGTGTATTCCCAGTGACTCCGTGGGGGCGTGTTCCGCCGCCTCACCTTCCAGGTTTCCGGTGGGGGCGGCACCCGTCACCACACCCCCACATAGAGACATTCCCTTTTTTTACTCATTTTCACCCAAAGAAATTTTGCAAATTAATCAAACCTTACTAGAGTTATTCCATTCAGCTAAAGCTCACCCGGCTTCCATCGACATCGTGTTGTCCCAGATGGAGGATTTTTTATTATCTATTCCTGGTCTTTCTTGGCTTCCCGAGTACAATCTTTTACTAACTAAGATAGGGACTTTAAAAACCCCTGTTGTCACTGCCATCTCTGATCCCACGCTGCACGCAGCCCCTGAGGTGGATTCCACGCTGCACGCAGCCCCTGAGGTGGATTCCACGCTGCACGCAGCC